TTTTTTTAGAAATAATAAAATTTAAATTATAATATTGATTATTGTAAATTAAAATTAGAATCATAATTAATATAAATTGAAATTTTATCTTAGTTAATTGTTATATTGGATATAGAATTTAAACTTCAAAAACAAAATGTTACAAATAAAACAAAAATATATGTACTATATTTAACATTTTTAAAAAGTTTAGGAGGCACACATAATAATTGAAAAGATTTCCATTAGTTTAGCTAACAGAATATTTGTCAAGTATATTATTTTGAAACAAAATTGATAGTTTATAGATCATTTTGAAAAAAAAAAATTGTTTCTAAACTAAAATGAAATAAACCATATATTTAATAAACTATTTATTGAATTTAACCATTATATAATTATCATTATAAATATTTTAAAAATAATTTTGTAATTACTTATTTACCCCCTTCTTCTTCCCCCTTCTGTCTTATCCCCTGCTTCCTCTGGTCTTTTTATTTTTTTAAGCCTGGGTTCTCGACGAACCCAGCTCCTGGTTTCATCTTTCCAGATCTATAAAGCTTTAGATCTGACTCCCTCTTCTTCTTCATCATCTCTATATATACAGAATAATGCCTTTCCATTATTAATTCTCTCAAATCAACAAGTACTCCATAGCTACTTCCAATGATGGAAAATCATCACCAGAACAACACCTGGACAGAGCTATTTCATTCGTCTGGTACTACTTTATTATTTTTCGAGTGTTTGGATTTATTTTTTTCAGATCTAGGCAACTGAATCTTCGAGAAACGGTTTTGATTTATATTGGAATGAACATGCAAATCGGAACACGGATTCGAGATCGTTTGTGCAAGGAATTGATGTGAATCGAGCGCCGTCAGTGGCGGAATGCGAGGAGGAAGCGGTGGTTTCGTCACCAAACAGCACCATTTCGAGCATAAATGGGAAGAGGAGTGAGAGGGACGCGATTGGAGATGAGAATAAGGCAGAGGGGGCTTCATGCTTTCGCGAGAGTGATGATGAAGATGGCGGAGGTGGTGGCGGGTCACTGAAGAAGCTCCGGTTGTCAAAGGAACAGTCAATGATTATGGAAGAGACGTTCAAGGAGCACAGCACTCTGAATCCGGTGAGTAGTAGCTGGAACCCAGTGCCTGGGTTTGCGACGAACCCAGCAAAGGTTAAAACAAAAAAAAAAAAAAAAAAAAAAAGCCAGAGAAAGGAGAGGATAAGACAGAAGGGGAAGAAAATGGGGAAAAATAAGTAATTACAAAATAAATTTTAAAATGTTTATAC